ATGGTGGCATCCCCAAACGGGCATGGTGCGCTTGCCGCCATATGCGCGCCAGCCCGTGGACGCCCCACCTTACGATGCGCCAGTATATAAAGGCCGGACCTCCCACCGCTCTCGCTCGACATGTACTCTTGACTTCTCTCCCTTCCCAACAGACCTCTCGCTCTCGCTTCTCGTTCTCAAGCTCCCGTTGGTATCCCTGTCTTATCGTGCCCGAGTTTTTACACTTGGTTTGAATCGGCCCTTTCATTTTGCTTCCGCGCCACGGTGCTTTTTTGGGCCTGGCTGGTGCGCTGTGCTAGGGCCAATTGGTGCACCAAGTTTCATCCAGTCCCCCTCTCAAGCTCTCCTTGAAGCCAAAATCGCTTGATGTATGCCTGGCCAGATATTTTCCTTGTTTGATGGCCTCGAATTATTGAGTGGTTTGCTCTACAAACCAAGGAATCATCAGTAGGTTTGGCTGGAAAACGGTCAACTCCAATGTTCTCAGTCATACTGACCCTAAGACAGGGGCAACCTTCATTTGGGGCACGACGCTTGGACTCGACCGCCTTCGATCGGCTGCATGCATCTCCTCCAATAGCAAAAATGCCTCATGCACCTCCCCAAGAAGTTATCTGACAACACCTCGACGAGCTGAACCGAGTTGCAGTGGCATGCCACGTCATCAGGAATGCGGGAAGGCAGGGACTTCTAAGAATGGAGACGCCTTTCGCCGAAGGATCAAAACGAGCCGAGAACGAGCTGCAGCGTGCTGATGGCGTGATACGTCATCAGATACGTGGGGAAGGCGGGAACTTTTGAAATTAAGACCTCCTTTGTCCGCGGTCTAGCCTAACATCTTCCGGCGTGCTTCGGATATGCATCGCCATGCCCACTCCGCCCGCTTTGGTGGATAGTTCAGGCTGACTGGGTGAACCCAGCCAAGGCTGTCTAGGCGTACTTTGCGGCGATGTTACCCGGACAAGAAAGAAGTCCGGACTTGCGTTTCAGAGAGCGTAGCTTGGCAGTTTCCTGATTGGCAGACCACAAGGCGAGAGGTGGCATGGCTGGGACAGTGGATGTTGTTCGCAGTGTGATGGGACCTCGTAACCGGCGAGCAAGACGCAATCGTACAAAGATGGCGATATGAGAGTCTTGGGGTCTTTTTTTAAGTATATAAAGCTCTTTACGTCCATGTGTGGGCATTTGGACGAATATTAATCAATCCGCAAGTTTTGGGCATTTACATTTCTATGCTGTCATCATGGCAACTCATGTTTCACTTCATAACCAGCACTTTTGGACTCCGTCAACGCACACCCGAGTGAATCCTCCTGGCAGCGAACGGCTGTTCGCCCAGCAACAGGAGTCTTCATCACCAGAACCGTCGTCACGGTCAAGCGGTCATGTACCCGACGATGAGATAGCAGAGACGGATGACATCATTTCAATTTCATCCGATGAGGGATCTGACGTGGAGGATGACAGTCATGATGATCAGTCGCAGAAAAGGGTCACGCATGTGTCGAATCGGTCAACCCCAGCAAGCATCGCTTCTCACGGTAGTAAGAGGCCTGTCTGTCAGAAAAGCCCCAGCATGTCGACCTGTGGAGAAGCCACTGGGGCCGAGGACAGTCAAGAAGCATCAGCTGATACAGTTTGTTTGGAAAGGACCACGGCCACCGCTCACGCTTCGCCTTCTCCCGGGCCTATGTCTGTGCTGGGAGAGGCGGATGCTGACTGCGAGCAGCCTCCAGCATCAGCTTCTTCCGGACAACCACTATTTACAAGCCGTCATTACACGCCAACGAGGCAAGTCGAGAAGACTCCAGCCCACGCATACCTTTCGCCAGGATTGCTTCTAGGCAATGGCGACAGAATCTACGCCTCCGATG